TTGTAGCAACAGAAAGCAGGCTAGAGCAGAGCTTGAAAGAGATTAAAACATTGAAGAAAAAAACCACATTTCCCAATACAAAAGGACAATAACAAAAGCACAATACCAATTGGAGTATAATCTTATTATATGGGGTTTATCTGATTCCTTGAATTTATGATTCATATAAATTTATCTATAGCCTACTTTCTCTTATATGGTTCAGGAAATGGATGGCCAATTAGTTCTATTATGTTTGAAGTTGAAAATTGGGCCACTCACACCACAAGCAGCAGGAAAGCCCCATCATTGACTCACAGAGACCGGAAGTCATTTTACATCCTGGACAATATAAAGGGCAGTGGAAGGTAAGTTTCTGTGTGGGGACCACTGCTCCTGGGGCCCTCCTCCTCTCTCCCTTCATCTTCTGTACTGAGAACTGCAGCCCCTTTCCCTGTCCAGCAAGACCCCACAGCTCATGGACAGCCACAATGACAGGATTAACATTTAGGACAGGAGAAAGAAAGGGAGTAAAAGGAGGGAGCCGCCTAGCATCCCTCCTCCCTCTTAGCATCCCTCCTCCCTCCTATCTTGTCTCCAAACCTCCCTTCTCCCTCCTAGCTTCACTGCCATACTGTCTCCTGAGTCTGGAATCTTTGATTTGCCCTTTATTGCCTATCTCCATTCTCCCTGCTATGTGGACCCAAATGTCATTTTGAAATAAAAATAAACATGACTTCAGCACTATATGGATCTAAAAGTCCTCGTTGGCGTCTGTGTCTTTGCTTTTACCAATGAATCCAATATAAAAGTGTGTGTGTGTGTGTGTGTGTGTGTGTGTTTAAGGGGGAGGAAATTGTTAACTTTATTATGTTTTTCTGTTTCTAAAACCTTTATAGGCCACAGCCAAGGCTCCATTCACAATCATATTATAGAACAAACAAGAAAAAAAAACCCTCTTTTTGGAAACTTCCAAAGGATGTTGTTCCATTACCTGGATACCCACATGGAGGATGAAACAACTTAGTCCTCAGTTCGTTGATCTCATTGTCACTGATCTTCTCTGTACTGCTCAGTTCAGTGGCCTGAGTCCTGCAGCTGCTCTACTTTGGGGGCACAAGTGAGTCCAGGGCCTTGCACACAGTCTACCACCCTGCCGGGCAGTCACTCTATTTTTAAGATTACTCAAATTTGTTCTTTCTAAGAACCACCCCTCTTCCAGCCAGCTTGGACCATCAGTCTCTGACCTCACCAGGACTCCCACTCCAAGGAGCCCATTTCCGTTTCCTTTATCCATGTGTCTCTTTACGCCTTCCCTCTTTATACCCCTTTGATTCCATGGGTCATCATCTGAGCACTCACTTGTCAGTACACCTAACTCCTCGGTTCTTTTGTGGTACCTCCCTAGCAGATGCTAGCCCAGAATGGAGGCACCTACCCACCCACCCTCCATGAATTTCCCATATCTGCTCCAGAACCGAAGATTGTCACGCATAAGACAAATCTGTGTCTTGCTTCTTAACGGTTGTGAACCTCAATGGACCTACAGTGCTTCTAGCATTGGGAAAGGCAGAGGCAGGACATCTCTGAAGGATCCCCGAGGGTTCTGAAATGTGAATAGAGAAATAAATAGGATGGAACCAAGGAAACTGACCAGTGTAGATAAGACCCGGGTGAGAGCAACCTAGAAACCAAGTAAAGAGGGCTTCAGCGAGGGTGGCCACTGCCATTGCCTTTTTGAGCAAAGTCTGTCATTGAGGCTGCTATGTGTGACCAGCCAGGGGAAGGCCAGTGCCGGGGGCTGCTGCTCGCTCACTCCATCCCTTCAGCTGTCTTCTCGCACAAAGCCCAGCCTAGCTCATCAGCTTTGCAGGAGGAGAGGAAATGGCAGTTTCAGCTAGGAGAGGTCAGTCAGCATAGCTGACATGCCGAAGGAATGAGGAAGGCCGAAAGTCTTGAGGCTGCAGAGAGGGTGAAGAGGCGATTGGTTTATCGTGAGGTGGTGGGAAGGACAGCAAAGCTAGGGAGGTGCAGCTGAAAAACAGAGGCTAAAAGTTTTTAAGGGTCACGCAGAGGTAGGCCATTTCAAGGTGACCTTGGAGGGAGGAAGGAACAGAGTGGTGGATGCTGTCAGTGTGGTACCGGCTCCTTAGTCTGCCTGGCTCAAAGATGACTTCATCAAAGATGCTCATCTTTTCAGGGTCTGTGTATCCGTAACACAGGCCCACCACCATGAGCAGACTGTGAGAGACACGACAGCTCTCTGTGGGGAGATCGGTCGGCAGAAACACAGTGTTTGTCTCACTGGATCGCAGTCTTGTGGAGGATGAGACAGTCATGGATTAAATGAGCAGACAATGAGCGCAAAATGAAGAGTAGTGAAATGTGCCCCCAAAGTTTACACAGGGCCAGATGGTGTCCTGAGAGGGGGGGAGGAGGGGAGGAGGGAGGAGAGGAGAGGGGGGGAGAGAGAGAGGTCCCTGAGAAGAGAGGCACGAGCAAGATCTGGAGGATGAGCAGGAGTTAGCCAGGGGAGGAGTTTAGGGAAGAGTAAGTTAGAGGGTGGGGACAGGGTGGAAGACCAGGAAGGCTAGTGCATGGAGATCAAGGGACAGGCTTCGCTTCCGCAGCCCTTCCCAGAGAGGAGGCCAGGCTGGTGCACAGCTGCCATCCCTGCCTGCCTGGCTGAGCCCTGACTTCATTCCCGTGACAGTGGAAAGAATCATAACCAGTCCAAGCCAAAGAGACTCCATCTCTTCTTGGTTCTGAGACTGGTCGTGAGGTGGCATGACCAGTCCAATCAAATGCAATGGGAAATCTTCCTGAGGCCTTGTAGGAAAACTGTCCCTCCCTGATGTAGAAAGGACTTAACAGGGATTCTTGTCCCCCCCACATCTCTTCCCTGGGGATTGGATGCTTTCTTGTGAGAATGTGATAAATATGGCAGACGACCATGTCTGAAACAATCAGAGTCACAAAGCCAGCGTTAGAAATTCACCAGGTCATCTGGACTCCTTCACCCAGACATCCTTCATGATGCCTGACAAATAAGAGGCCACTGTGATTTCTACTGCTGCAATAATAATAATGATGATGATGATGGATGATCCACATTGCCCATCCATCGGTCCAGTGCCGGAACTCACTAAAATCATAAAAATGCTTCAGATTACCAAATTCTTTGTCTTCACAAAGACAGGGTGATTTGGACATCAGACAGGGCAGGAGATGAATTTCTGCCCTGGTGTCATTTTCTACAAAGCCTGTAGGACGCCCTCATTATTACTGTTTCGTGTGTAGGCCTTTTCTTGCTTCTTTTAATTATTTGTCCCCCGAAAAGAGACACGGTAAAGATTGCCTGCAGTGTGACTGATGTCACCACTTCCTGGTGGCATCGACATGGATGTCCTTCCACACAGACAATGGGCTTACACCATGTGGATGGCCAGCCTGTACACTGATGAGCCCTTGCTTTGAACAAGGACAGGAATGAGATCATGAGGACCGTGGAGCTGGCAACCCGTCCAGTTAAACTTAGGACTCACGGATTACAGAGTACAAAGGAGGACACGCCAGCCACAGGGTCAGCATAGACAAGAGCCTCATTTCTGTCCCTGGCTTTAGCAAGCTATTTCATCCCTAAATTACAGTTTCCTCTTTTTTAAATTATGAGGTCATCATTCCTACCCTACAAAATTGTTGTGATTGAATGATATTTTAAGTGAGCTAAAAAAAATCCCCAGTAAACCCTAGGTATTGTCCTGTAGTGCACACTCCAGCGCTGTTTTGGTGAATGAGGAACAGGAAATTGAACAGTGATCTCATGACAGAGGCCCATCATGAAATTAGCAAATTGGTTGTCTGAAATTTTAGAGAAATTGTTTGCTTGCGAAGATATTAGGCTGACAGCCTTGCCCACGTTGTTGGCGATGATTAATAAGGAAAAGCATGCTTGTGTCTCATGGCATGTGTACGGACGCCTCACAAGGTTAGTATTTGATGCCAGAGCAGACATCATTTCGGTTCATAGGTTGTATCTACAGTATAAGTAGCTTTCTCAGGCATCTGTGGGATATGCTAAGCCCCTTCCCTGAAAAATTGTGTCAGGTTTTTGGAGAATTAGGGACAAAGATTGGAACACAGAAGATAGGAAGTTTATGGGCCTGCTGTCTATTTTATTATGGTGAAGGAGTACAGACCGTAAAGCAATTTCCTCTTTCCCTTTGGTTAGGTCTTGCTTGGGTGACAGACTCTCGGAAGCTTTGTGCTTCCCAGTGGAGACCAGAGCAGCTTTTGAGGAACTGCTTAGGGCACTAACTAGCAGCGACTGGACTAAGACCTGCTATGGAACCACAGAGGGCGTCCAGGTTCAAGGCTGACTTTCTATCAGGAAATACATTTCAAGAAATGGTTTCTCCTAAAACAAGCAAAGCGAGTTCTGTGCAGCAGGTGCACAAATTGATTGCTTCTGCGTGCCTGGAGCCCAGAAGAGTGGCTAAATAAGGAACCAGCGCGAGCCACACCCTCCATGGGTGCAGAAGTTAAACAACAAAGAACTTTGGCTGGAGGCTACCCAGCATGGTGCTGGTTTTTAGATCTGAAGTCTTATTTTCTTAGGAAAGAATCTGTGAAGCCAGAATTACCTATCCCAAAGCTGGGCATGGTTGCACATATTCTGTAGGATTGTAGATCCCCGTCTCAGAAGGCTTGGCTCAGACTCCAGCCTTGACTACCTAATGAGTTCCAGGCTGGCCTCAGAAACAATGAGACCTTGTCTCAAAGGGAAAAACGAAAGGATTATCCTTCCTATTTTTTCCAATGAAGAACAAAGTCTGAAGTCTGAAAGACTACAACGAGAATACGTGCCAAAGTGGGCAGGAACTGATCTACCTCTGTGAGGGTGCCAAAGATCCAAGACTGTACTTTCATCTCTAAAGGCGTAACAAGATAACTCATTCACACTCTGCCACCTCTCACTTTCTGAACTATGAATTAAAATACACACGAGCCCCTCAGCTGGCCAATACCTCTGCTCTTGTCAAATGGCAACCGTTTGTGTAAGCTTCTTACTTGGAAGAGGCCGTGTGCTGGCCATCATGCCTAGCCCCTCACTGCACCAATGAAACTGCTCCATCAAGCATGAACGAGCCAGTCTTCCTGGAGAGCCTGAGAAGGAACAGCTGTGTTAGAGAAGCCAAGCTTTTTGTTTCCTCGTTGAGGACAAAGCATTCCTTCCTAAGGAAGATGTGTTTCTGAGATACGGCCGGGTGGGAAGCGGGGAATTGTTTCAGTGGTAGGCACTGCAGAAGGTCAAGGCTAGGTTGGCATTGAGTCATTGTTACTATGGTCCAAAGTCTTGCAGGAATTTTTCAAATTTGTATGCTTCCCCCGCCCCCAGATACCTGTAACATCAGGTGCGATTCTGTTCCAAGCCACAAGAAGAACGAAAGGCCAGGACTTCCCCGAGCACCAGCTTCTATTCCTGCTTGGGACAAAAGTAAGATCTTCCCAAGGCTTGAGAACTTCCTGCTGCTTCGTTTCTGACAGAGCCTGTACTTAATCCTCTCCCTCGGGCCAGGCTCAGAGTAAACCGGAGGAGTTCCGGAGCTGGACAGAGAACTGCCCCTGGCCTGGTGAGTACTGCTTGCTGAACTGTGAGTTTAGAGTCTCAAGATCTGGTGATCTGGGAGTTTTTTCACAACTGAGCAACTACAAATTGGAAAACTGGACATTTTCCAGTTGAGCGGTCTTGATATTTTAGGGTTTTTCTTTATAGTCTTCTTAGGTGGCAGAGCCCAAGGAAAAGGGGACTTCTTGGCATCACACTTATGAAATCCCAACCGACATGACAGTAAACAGGTTGGGGAACAAATGGGAGATCTTCCTGAAGGAGATCAAAGTGCTAAATTGAAGAGATATGCATAGGTGCAGGTGTGGGGCTTGTCTGTTCTGCCCTGGGGAACTAGATGCAGTTCACCTCCCGCTTTCTCTCTCAAAGGGAGGTTTCCATTTATGAAATACCCCCTTCAGAGCAGGCTAGTTCTAAGACCCTAAATCATAAAACATGCAAATGGGTGGGTACCTTCCGTGCTCAGTGCCTGGTAAGTACCTTGGGTGCTCAGTGCCCAGGGTGCCGCTGCCACTCTTTCTGGCTCCACTTGGAGCTCTGGTGCTGGGAAAGGATTAAGCATGGATTCTGTACAAAGTATAAAGTAACAAGCTGTTCTTACTAACGTTATTGGGAAGATTTTATCCCTCCCCTTTGCAGACTATAAGGCCTTTAAAAACAATTACGTATTTTATCAGGAAAAACAAAACTTTTTTTCCCCGAAGAACAACTTCCAAACACTTTTGAGCTTTAAAATATGTTGCTCACAACTGGCCTCCTCTGCAAAGCTCCAGGATCCAGGCTCTGTGCACCGTTTCTCACTGGGCTAAACGCTGCAAACGCTGCATGCGTGGATGGCCGTGTCCCACACGCGTGGAGGCCGGAGGAAAGGGCATCCTGAAAGCGCTTATACCTAATCACTTCTGGCAACGACACTCTGACATTGAAAAGAAGCCCAGGGAGGGTTTTTTTTTGTTGTTGTTCTTAAATAAGATTTCAAATTAGCCTTGGCCAACCTAAAACTCATCTTGTAGCCGAGGCTATCTTGAGTATATGATCTTCCTGCCTCTATTTCTCAAGTGCTGGGATTACAGATGTGGCCAGAAATTCATGCTTTTGGCATAAAATTCTCAAGGGCAATTTGAAAATGTATATTTTAATTTTTAATTATTTGTGCCTTTGGAACGAAGGGCAAAGTATCTCTGAGTTCTTGTAAAGAACTGTTCTTCAAGGGAACAAAGGCCTTTGGCCTCTCCTGCTTGGCATTCCATCCAGTGGAATTGGTCCATCACAGCAGGTGAGGGCAAAGGCTGCCGGTTCTCCAGTGCAGGCCATGAGATGCCCCAGAGGGGCAGTGAGATAGTCACCTCTGCTTTTGCTCAGGACCCCTCCAGGAGAGAAACCCTTTCCCCGGGCAGCGGGGGTGAGATAGAAGAGTCCAGAAACGCACGCTGGTCTTCAACGGCTCCGACTTGCTTCTCCCCAACCAGCAAAGGAGAGAGAGAGGAATGAGTGGCTGATGATAACCAAGGGCAAAGGTCAGGAAAGGAGCGGTCACACGGTCACACCAGGACAGACGTGCAAACAGCCCTCAGCCTTCTTCCCTGTGGGCCCCAGGTTGCCTGGTGCCTCCTTTTTCAGAGCCTCCCATTTTGAGGTGTTACTAATTCAAGGTAGAGGTAGGTCACAGACACAGTCCTAGTCCATCGGTCCTGCAGCCCTCACTCTGTGGACGTCCCTTCGACCTCTCGGTCCCCTAACCAGTGGTCCTCAGCTTTCCTAGTGCTGTGACCCTTTATGCAGTTCCTCACATTGTGGTGACCCCCAACCATAAAATTATTTTTGTTGCTGCTTCATAACTGTAATCTTGCTACTGTTATGAATTGTAATAGAAATACCCAGTGTGCAGGATATCTGATATGCAACCCCCTAAAAGGGGCCGTGACCCACAGGTTGAGGACCACTGCCCTAGATGGTCATGGATGATAGACAAATCTGGTTAGAGTCAGCTTCCATGGGTCAGTCCTGGGCCTCAGCATCAGGAAATCTTGGGAATGGCTGCACGGTTAGCAGAGGCACTTGAAGAAGAGGGGTCTCTGGGCCTTGCTCATGAGGTTCTCTTTGAAGAAAGCAACCCTGAGATGTGAAGATGGCTCATCATGGCGGCTTCTCAACCCACACTGCCTCTCAGTGCTATCTGACCCAGGATCGGCTGCCTCTGTGCTGCTCTGGTGTCTCAAATCTGCCTCCCTGGGGCTCTCCTTCTACAGTCACATGTGGTGGGGACAGGGAGGACTGCCCTTGTAGTCTCTCACAGGGAGGACTGCCCTTGCAGTCTTTCTCACAGGGAGGACTACCCTTGCAGTCTTTCTCACAGGGAGGACTGCCCTTGTAGTCTCTCACAGGGAGGACTGCCCTTGCAGTCTTTCTCACAGGGAGGACTACCCTTGCAGTCTTTCTCACAGGGAGGACTGCCCTTGTAGTCTTTCTCACAGGGAGGACTGCCCTTGTAGTCTTTCTCACAGGGAGGACTACCCTTGTAGTCTCTCACAGGGAGGACTACCCTTGTAGTCTCTCACAGGGAGGACTGCCCTTGCAGTCTTTCTCACAGGGAGGACTGCCCTTGCAGTCTTTCTCACAGGGAGGACTGCCCTTGTATTCTTTCTCACAGCTTCTTCGTAGATCACCAATTGGGTAAGCACAGGCGCCGTGGCTACCATCACCTTTGGATACAATGGGGGAACACGTTAACAAAGAATTAGAGGAGCTGGGGAGATGGTGCTGGAGAGACTGGCTCAGTCAGTAAGGGGTTTGCTGTTTAAGCATGAGGACCTGACTTCACTCCACAGAAGCCACACTGAAAAGTAGGTATGACGGCACATGTTTGTCATATCAGTAGGGGAGGCAGACACAGGTAGATTCCTGTGGCCTACTGGCCAGTCAGGTGAACTCCAGGCCAATGAGAGACCCTGTCTCAAAAACAAGATGGATGTCACCTGAGGAAGTACACCCAAGATTGACCTCTGGACTCCATACATAGATTACAGACAGAAAAGACAGAAGCCACAGTTGGTGGGGCCTGTCTTGACTGCAGATGGAGTTAGTCACTGCGGCCACATCTGGAGGCTAACTGTTGTCTCACCTCTTCTATGACAGGTAAGAACAGCCATCCGGATGGAACCCAGATCTGCAAAGAGTCCAGGTACCTAAGGGGTGTGGTGGTGGAAAAAAAAAACATCTTTCCATCAAAAGTAAGGAGCAAGGTCCATCAGGTTGTCCAGGACCCAGACATCAGTTTCCCGCTTCGTAGGGACAACAGATATTCTGGGACAGTGACAATTGGTCTAGAGAAAGTAGAAGCTGTTGGACTCACTTATTATATGTAAAAGCTGAATTATCAAGACATTTGGCATTTCCTATTTGTCATTGGCTCAGAGTTCCATTTGTAGGTTGGAGACAGTGCCTTTAATAAATTACAGCCCAGGCACGACTAGGATATATATTCCTTTAATTTTGCATAGAATTCTCACTTAACAAATCCTGAATTGTCATTGGGGCTTGTTAGGCAGGCAGCTCAGCTCATGTTGTGCAAACACTCAGCACACACTCCCTGTACACGCACATAATTCACTCCAGGACGAACAGAATTCACTCCAGAAAAGTGGTTAAAACAGCAGAACTTGGGACGCAGCAACTTGAGAACAAACTGTCACATTCAACTCCAGCAGGTGTACAGAAGCCTTTGCTATAGGCTGTTGTTCCCAGGGAACTTAGAATCTCACTGAGAAATTGGGAGAGACACAGACAGGCAGTGCATGGAGAACCTCAGCTCAGCATGTATAAAAGAGCCACAAAGTAATCATGGACTACAACAAAGCCCTGTGGAAGCTGGAGGGAAGGCTGGGGTATGGAGAAGTTGTTTGAGCTGTGTCTTAGCATGCATGGGAGACTTACTTTCTTATTTTATTTGTATATGTATGTGTATGTGTATCTTGGAAAGCAGCCCTCAACCAATGTGGGGTTGGTGAAGATCTTTCCCCATTCTGTAAGCTGTCGTTTTGTCTTGTTGACCGTGTCCTTTGCTTTACAAAAGCTTCTCAGTTTCACGGGGTTCCATTTATTAATTGTTTCTCTCAGTGTCTGTGCTACTGGGGTTATATTTAGGAAGTGGTCTCCTGTGCCAATGTGTTCAAGTGTGCTTTCTAATTTCTCTTCTATGAGGTTCAGTGTGGCTGGTTTTACGTTGAGGTCTTTGATCTATTTGGGCTTGAGTTTTGTGCACGTCAATAAATATGGATCTATTTTCATTCTTCTACATGTTGATATCCAGTTATGCCAGCACAATTTGTTGAATATACTTTCTTTTTCCATTTATATTTGTCAAAAAATCAGTTGTTCATAGGTGTGTGGATTGATATCTGGGTCTTCTATTTGGTTCCATTGGTCCTCCTCTGAAATTTTTTATACATATTTCTAATTAAAATCTAATCACACCACTTCCCCAATTCCCTTTGTTCCCTCCAATCCTTCCTTGGTTCTCCCTCATCCATTTTCAAATTGGTGGCCACTTTTTCTTTAATTTATTAGTGTTATAAACATGCACACACACACATGCACACCCATATATATTATATGCACACCCACAGATACACAAACATATAAATATATATAAATACAACTGCTGAATCCTTGTTTATCATTTATATAATAAAAGGGCTGATCCCTTTGTATTGGGTAACCAGTTAAGGGACTCATCCTTGTAAGAGGCTAATTCTCCTTCTCTACGGTTATCTTAGGCTGCCATTTCTAGGAGATTCAGTTTTACAGCAGATTTTCTAGTCTTCTGGCTCTTACAATCTTTCTTCCCTTTCTCCCTGGATGTTTCTTGAGACTTATGTGTAGGTGATGGAGAAGCCTTGTTAGCCAGTTATCATTAAGAGGTGGGTCCTAGTTAAGGCGTGGCTTCCTGGAGTCTGGGAAAAACTGGGGCACAGACCAGGTATTTTTTTCTCTGTGTGGTTCCCCCGTGGCACAGCTGAACTTAGACTTTCTGTTTCTGTGGCGTGAGTTTTCCCCAGATAATAATAATGGGTAACAGAGTGGATACTTATGAGCTATTATTTATAGATAATTTACACTGGCATAGTTTTTTATATATTAATACAAGTTCAAATTGTATTTGTTATTACTGTTTACAATATTTGTAGGCCCATGCAAAGTTATTCTGTCAGATTGCATGCACGTTTATACCTCTGTTTAGGACATTTTGTATATCAGTACAACTTTTAAGATATATTTTCATATTGCATTATATATTATTCTTACCTCTGATCAAGATACTTACACATTGTTTACATCTTGAGGCCATTTTCCTCATTTGCTGCACATTTGTTTTTAGATTACTTAATATTCTGACATGAAGTTTTAGTCTTTAAGTTATACAGGTATCAAATATTATAGGTCAATAGTTGTTCATGTTTGTTATACGTATAATCAGATTAATTAGGTTCTTTAGATACATAGAGATTGCATTCTGCCCAGATAGGTAATCTTCAACCACTTCAAGGATCTGTAGAATATGGCATTTAAATAACTTACGGTTCTGTTGACATGAGACATGATTGCTCCTGATAGCACCAATCTACTCCTGAGAGAATGTTGAGCACCAAAGACACTCCACTCAGAGTTTGTTTTCTTCTTGGCATAATTGGCCTTTAGGCAAGGAACTGTCAACCTTGCCAAGATAGGATAAGGGTAAGATGGTGCTAAAAATTTTCGTGCCTCTGAAAATGGTCTGTCAGTTATGCTAGGCCTTAGGGAAAGGTGGTTGCTTCAACATTGCAATGAGACTTTGGGTGATTGTTCAGGTAGCCAATTGTCTCCATCGTAAACTATGCGCTTTGGAAGCTGCCTGATTGCACTTCTATCTCCCTTCTCAGGCCTTCGATGCGGTTGAAGATTAGATAGTCATAGTTAGCTTCCTCTTTTGATTTAGCCAAGCTTATTTCTGATGCCAGATTTAAACTCTTTGTAATAGAATGTTTTTCAAAACATTTATCATGTGTTCCTTGCTTAATATTGTTTATGTTGTTTGTAATTTTATACTTGGTATCTGTTCCTTTTGGATATAGCTTTGTATTGGGTTTGGATCGCTCTTGTAGCCCAGGCTGGCCTCAAATAACCTCCTGATCCTCCTGCCCCCACCTTCCAAAGATTACACACACACACACACACACACACACACACACACACACACACACACACACACACGAACCACCATGCTCTGTTGATACGACCCTGAGGATTGAACTTAGGGACTCATGCGTACTAGGCAAACACTTTGCCAGCTGAGCTCTATCCCCAGCAACTAGTTTATCACTAAGTAGGAACATCTGAGATGCACCTCTGTTGTTGCATATATAAATGGCTTGTTTCTTTTTCGCTCATAACTCGTATTCCTGTGCATAGATCTATCACAATTCGTTAATCTATTGACCTTCAGTGAACCAGGTCACTTCCAGTCTTCTAGTCTTTGAGTAAAGCTGCCTCGAACATTTGTGAAAAACCTGTATGTGATCACATATCCCTTAATGTTAGAACATTTCGTGTGTGTGTGTGTGTGTGTGTGTGTGTGTGTGTGTGTGTGATGCTAGGAATCAACTCAGAACTTTTCCCATGCTAGCCAAGCACTCAACCTCTGAACTACAGCCCCTCCTGCCTTTAACTTCGTAACATATTTAAGAAAAGGTGCGTAATTTAGTAAGACATAGTACAGTCACAATGCTGTGCTTCACAGCACCAACCAAACGCTTTTTTTTAAGATTTATTTTTTATGTATACAGTGTTCTGCATGCATGTCTGCCTGCAGACCAGAAGAGGGCACCAGATCTCATTACAGATGGTTGTAAGCCACCATGTGGTTGCTGGGAATAGAATTCAGGACCTCTGGAAGAGCAGCCAGTGCTCTTAACTACAGATTCTAAAGCATCCTGTAACTCTAGAATAGAAGTCCTTCCCTACTTCTAGTGCGGGTCAGCCAGCTGTCTGTCACGGTCAGAGACAAGTCTTTTCTCCCATTCCCATCTGCTGAATCAATGTACTGGTTTGTAGAGCCCAGACTCATTTTGTGCATGAACACACGGTGACTCTGGAAGGGTTTTGCTAAGGGGATTGCACTTTATCTATGTAATGACCTTGGGCACTGACGCATCAGCTTATTTCTGGTTTCTACAATCTATTACCTTGGTCTGTGGTTCTGTCTACACACTGTGCTCTTAATTCTTACAGGTTTGCAGTAAGAATCTTTTTAAAAAAAATATATTTATATTTCTTTTATGTGCATGAATGTTTTACTAGCATGGATGTAAATGCACCATGTGCATGTCCAGCGCATATATGCGCATCTTGTGCGTGTCTGGTACACAGGGATACCAGACATGAGTATTGGATCCCCAGAAATTGTAGTTATAGGCAGTTGTAAGCTGCTATGTAGGTGCTGTGAATTGAACTTGGGTCCTCTGCAAGAGTAGCCAGCCATCTCTCGGTCTCTCCAACCCTGGAAAGTCTGGTGTTTTATTTGTTTTTGTTTGTGGTTGACATCTGAATATTCTTTACCTTTCAAAATTGTTTTAACTATTCAAGGCTATTGAGAAATCTACATGATAATATGAGTGAGTTTTTCCACTTAAAAAATGCATTACAATTCAGATAAAAATGCATTGGATCTGCATTGGGGTAATTTCTAATATGCTACTATGAGAACTATTGTCTTTCAATGAGTGCATATGGGAATCAGATGTATTCCCACTTATTTATGTTGTCTTAAATTCGTCTAATAATTTTCAGTATATTAGTCTTTCACCACTTTGGTTAAATGTATCTTTATGTATCTTGTTTGGGGAGATTCTATAATAAATGAAAATACTCTCTTATTTTCACTGTCCCAATATCTGTTACCACTTTATGGAAATCTGAGAAAGGTTGTATAGTTGTAGTAAGCCACGGGTTCTTATGTTCCAGGGTGGGGCCATGTGAGTTAGAAATGTTAGGTAGGAGGAACAGAGACACGAAAGGAACACAGAGACTTAAGTTAATACCAAGAGGGCAACTCAGTGAATACTGAGTCCACCTGTGTTTATTTTCATATGCCTTTACACCCCAGTACAAAAGAGAGCGGGGAGAAAACAAAATACTGTTTTAACA